TAACTCGGTACTCCTCGGCTAGACAGGCCAGAGACAGAAAATGGCGTGTCGATGTACTTCCTCCTCGTAACAATGTATTTTCCATTGAGCAACACTTTATCTACAAATTTAAACAACGTCAAATACATTTGAAAATTAAATGAGATATAGATATTGATAAAAATAGCGCGAAATTAATAATAAAAGGAACAAGATTATTTAATGTCGAATAGAAAAGTTATATTGACAGAAGCAACGGTATAATGTATCCATAGTCAATGGGGAAACGCATAAAGAGAGGGCTGGCCTAACAGGCCATATCGGAAAAGTTCTCATTTAGCCCCTAGCCAATGAAAGACCAGGTGGGTCCTTATGAAAAACTCCCGAAGCGAAAGGGTCACGCCTGTCAACCTCAGGAGACCTTAGAAAAGTGTCCCAATGGAGGGGGAGCTCGAGTGCATCTGCATCCGGGAATTAATACGTAACGTATTAAACAATTGAACAAGGCTGGAGGTAGACTAGCTAACTACAATTTCAACCGAGTTATTTTCAACAAAATTTCTATAATAAATAATTGTTAATAATTTCATTGTAACTGCAGTTTATACGTGAAAGAAAGAAAATATACCAAGATCGTGTCTTTATTCGAGAAGACTTAGCGAGGTGCCTTACAAATAATGATAAAATATCTAGTCATCATTGTTGATTTCTTCCTGATCAAAAGCAACCTTCCATCTGTAAAAGTAGTCGAGATAAAAAGAATGTTTAAGACAAAAAGCAAATGAAAAGGAGTACGGAAGAGAGGAAGAAAAGGGAGAGAGAACCTTGGCCCACAGGCCTACTGCAGCTCTGCAGCTTGCTTGCAATGTGCCTCCACCACTCAGCCATTCATGTGGGAAACACCCTAGTATCCGTTCGTCGTGGGGCTGGGCCAACAACCGCCGGAAAAATTTCTCTTTCGATGCACCGCAACGGCCCCGCCCCATACACCAGGGTATGGGGAAGAAAAGTTTGGGATAGATGGTGCAAGCTGGCCATTGCAATGTCCGCCGGTCTGCTTGAGATGGAGATTCTATGAAAGATCGAAAATCATCTTCTAGGCCACTTTCAGGCTCGATTCGTAGAGAAATGATGAGATTATAAAGATTACTTGAATTAAATACCTACTTAATCGTACAACATGAGGTTACGCAGTTAAGTAAACTCATTGGAATATGTAAAATGACATTTATAAACAGGCAGCAGAAAATGGTCGTAAGGTGGTCGGTGCTAAAAATGTTAGTTACTATATTAAAATCATTTTTATAGTATATTTTTATTAATTCATTATATACTAAGATATTTGATAAAATTATGTTTTCCAAATTACCATCAAGTGCGTTGCCAAGGTAAAAGATGTATAATGTATGTATTACAAATAGTTACGTTTATTGACAATGGAACTGACCGGCCATATGACACCGACCTTCTATGGTTTACGATCTCATTAGTCTAACCTAGTCCACATGGTATCTTCTTGCTTCTTTAACCTCACACGATCGAATAGTTCGATAACATTATGCACGCTTGAACTTGCTCGACATCGGTTCCCGCGTTTCAATCAGCTCGAGAATCGCAAGCAACGCAAGGGGAATCGATACAGGTATCGATTTTCAATTGTATCGGCAACATATTAATTGATACTAAGCAAAATATTTTAGTCATTCTTGAAGTTTCAACTTTATATGCGAATTTGATATTTTTCTTTAATAAAAATATTAAAATCCTGGTATCAACATCTTGTACTAGTGATTTTTTATTAGTACTATTTAACAATAAATAGGGTCTTTCGTTTTTTGTCGAGTATTCAAATTTTATTGTCGAAATGTATTGATTTATCTCGAAATTTAAAAAGTTCTTCCTTACTATCGATATTGTACTGTCAATATTCGAGCAATTGTCGACAAAAACAATCAGGATTTAAGCAATGAAATTAATATTAAAGATTCATTTTCAAATTCATATTGCGTCATATCACTAACCTATTAAATACGTGAATCAAACTTAATATTAACTTTTGATAAATTGAATTATATACTTTGATTATTATTTCCCAAATCAATACGTCAGATTCGCATACTGAACTTGATCCCGTTTCTTCTCGTCTCTGATCGAGAACGCGTGCCAGTATCAAACGAAAAACAGCGGATGTGCGAATTCTGATCTTTACCTCGGTAGTCCAGTCAGAACAGGAACGTCGTCGCATCCCATGGACCCGTGTGTACACTTCTCTAACCGTAGAAAATCCAACGACATAGGAAACAACGGAGAAAAGAACGTGGCGATGTATATATCCTATATCTATCGAACACCGTTCCTTCGTACGTCAGGTCGCCGCTCCCTGAGAGATCACTGCCCTCACGCACACCCGGTGCCTTCTCTCGTTCCTTCGGCCGGTCGCGTCGTGTGTCTCTCTGCCCCGACGACGGGGACCAGGAATGTATCGCGAAACTAGCGTACCCCTCGCAAACAACATACACACGAACTGTCTAAATTTTCAAACAGTTTATTCAACACACTTCGCAATTATATATCCAGTTCTCAATTATTATGAACACTGTCTCAACGAAAGGAGAAACGTAAAGGATCATGGGAATATGAAGTAGGAACACATACAAAATTTGAGGTAGTGGTGAGACCGTTTCGACAGTTATTGCAAAAATATCATGAACTTAAGTATGTATTTAAAATATATTTTTATATAACCACACTTTCACGTAGAGATTCAAACAGCCAACAGTTTCGTGAAAATCATGGTCTCTGCTCGCGAATACGTTGGTCCCATCACTACCAGTCGCAAATTTTCCTCCCTCGAGTCCAAATTTCGAGACTATCGATCTGTCTCGGAGATCTGATGGACAACTTTCATCAAACATAGTGATCACTCGCGAACAAGCAAATTCTCCTTGCAGTAACTTGCGTAGATCGATCAGCATGCAGATCAGAAACGTTTTTCGTAATAGATTATGCGCCGACGGAGTGCACTGGCTGTTCACGTACCGTCGAACTCACATACTTGAACCGTGTCTCGTTCGCGAATTCGCGGCACACAGACTGCTGGCAGCCGATTGCAAAAACCCCTTCTTTTCGCAGCGGAAAGAACAAGGGATTCAGAAACCCTACCCCCCGGGGCACGTGTGAGTGTATGCAGGCTGCACGTCCAGCGCACACCACGGTACACAATGTATACATGCACGAAAGGGGAAGCCGACGTACACGAGCCGGCAACGAGACGACTATTTCCATTATTTCGCCGGCACGCGTGGCAGACTTGTTCAACAAGCGCAACGTCGCCATCTGTGTCGTGAACTCCGCATCACATAATCGCAAATTGACCGACGAATAATACTGTCCTTGATCTACAGAATTTTGCGCTTGCATAATCATTGCTTGAACAGACAAGAATTGATATAATTTTTATACTAATTGAAGGGGTTAAAATAGCTATTTTAATTGTACTTATAACTAACTTTGCACAATTTAATGATAAACAATTTCAGATTATTTAAAAATATTTATCAACGATAGAAATTTGTTTTAATTTTCAAATACTGCCATTTTTCGCGCATTTTTTATTTAACCAATGAGGATAAAAAGGACATTTTGATTGGATAATTTGCAATAATTTGCTTATAACGGAATTTCTACGCTGTAATGGAAATTAACCGAAATTAGCACGAATTAGCCGAGATTGGTGAGAATTTTGTACTTAATTTATTAATATCAATAAATCTGTTTTAGAATTTATTTAATAAAGCAATATTATTTAAAACCGATTTGTTATTTTCAGAAGACGATAGCCCTCTCCGAGTTTGGTATCGCATTTCTTTTCTCTTTTATAGTCAAGTAATGCATACTTAATTTGATGACAAGAAAACAATGCATAATTTGTAAGTTATATTCTTTCTCATAATTATTAATTTATGATCTCTTCTTTTGATTGTCTAAACATGGTTAATTTATTAACATCGATACCTTTTTTCCTTTTCCTTTCTTTTTCTGTAGAGGAATGAGCGGAAAACGACATACGACACAAGAAAAACCATTTCATCCGTTAATTTTTCCCTTAATCTTTGTTACTTTTTATTGGTATGTAATATGTATAATAATATATTAATATTTTATCAGTTTTTTCTTTCCATAAATTAAATAAATAACTCTTGACTGTGATATTATTAAACAAAATATTTTACAAAAGTAAATAGCTATAGATTGCCAGGTGTTCAGTGAAGAGTGAGGATAGATGTATTTTTTTTTTTTTTTTACTATATCGTCTATTCAAAAGTAACTAGACATCCGAAGCGCATTTTTTTATTCCGTATACGTGATCTTTGGCGAAGTCATGATTTTCTCTTCCTTTTTCTTCAATTATCAAACACTATGTATTCATACATTACAATTACGTTAAACCTGTCTGGCAAATCTCATTCTCGAAACACGATTACCGATTTTATACAAAAAAAAAAGTGAAGAAATTATACAGGACAGGAAGAAAAAAAGTGTAAGAAATAAAGAAGCAATAAAGATTCAAAAGAGAAGACGACGCTTTAAAGATTCTAGTGAAAAGTTTCTGTTGCAACTTTGACTTCCGAAAATGTTTGCTCATATTACGCATCTTAATAACCTGCAAAGAACTATTCACAGCAATTTTCTGTGTCTGAAAAATGCACCGAAGCGTCTGGTTTCTAAAGAAGCCGAAGTAAAATTGACTGAACCATGATGGAGTATTTCTAGCCACGAAGAAAAACAAAATTTTGGCTGTAATGGAACATGATTATCGCCAATAGTCACACAATACACACACGATCCGTTTTTTATGCTTGATAAAAACAACTTCAACGTTTATCATTGTTCAATGTTTAGTCGCTTTTCAATACCACATGATAAAGTATAGGTTCATTTATCATTAATTTCTTTTTCTTTTCTCTTTGTTTGTTTTCTTTTTTATACTATATGTTGGACTGAGGTATTGAGAGGCAAGATGATCGTTTTTTTTTTTATACTCTAGGCATGGCGTAAGGTTACAAGTGAGAGCTGTGAGGCTGCTGCTCGTAAAACAGTACATAGGCTTCGTTGGAAACGACTGACCGCGCTGGAACCACGGACACCCGGTTGTCATTATACTCATGCCACTCCCCCGAGTATGGATGCTTACAATATGCCGTGTAATGACCGGAGTGCGTTGTGCCTGAATGATTCGCGACACCGTACAAATTGTACGTACAACCCGGAACTTTGGGCGCGGCAAAGGCACTGAGATCCAAACCTGTCAATGGAAAATCTACCATCACGTTTAGCTTGTTGCGGAATCGTTCCATCGGTGAGAAACGTTTTAAATCTATGATTGGCATTTCATTAAGGAAAATATGACAAAAAAAAAATAGCAAATCCGACATTTTGGTATTTAAAAAAGAGAATACTAGTAATGGAGTAAAACAGTTAATAGTAGTCCAGAATAAACGAATCTTATACACTTTTTTGTGCACTTCATTAAAGGAGGAAAAGGATACGAATAACAAGAATCTTCGGAAACTTCTGTATGCTGAAGCTCTTCGTGCACTTTCTCCTCATTTGACACTTGGAACAAGTCGGCTTCTCATCACCATCGAGCACTTCTTCTCGTGTGAAATGTTCCAAACATTGGCTCAACTTTACTGTACCACTTCTAGCTGGTATTGGTAAGCTTAGATCCCAAAAAGGGTCCAACGTGACCGACACGTGGTCGCAGGAGGTACAGTGTAACGACGAGCGTAATTGACCCACAAACACATCCACTATCATACTGTCTTCACTGCGCAGGTAGCGCTTCCAGCTCTCGACTGCCTTTTGACTATCCCTATTTCCAAAAGTAACAAATAGAAACTTTAGTTGCGATAATTCTTGGCAACTGTTTCTTATTTCCTTATTTCTATGTCTACAGATAAAATTTAATATTTCCTTACGTGTACATTTCAGGAATATCTGTATGTATTGGCTGTGGTTTCACTGTCACCCTGTTCACATCCTCATGCAGTCCTTCTAACAAGTATCTGAGAAATTCTTGAGCATCCTGTTGACTGTATCCCATGAAACGTGGTGCGAATCTTTGTATCTGAGATTTGAGTGCCGTTGTGTTAACCACGAGATTACCGCCCACCTCCCACAGCTCATGAATCACCTGGCTGAATGCTTTAATTAGGGCTCCTTTCATGCTGCTTGTGCTGGTGTTTATATCTGTCAGGTACTGTTCATTTAGCAGATATTCCAATAACGGTCTCGTATTACTCAGACATTGGATTACACTGTTCATAAAACACTGAAAGATGGTAAAACAATTAGTATTTTCATATTAGCCATTAATTTCATGTAAATGGAGGGAACAGCATTATACGAAGTAAAACAAAGATATATTGATATATTCACAAAGTTTCAGTTAGAAAAGTTGAAATATCTAGATTCACTTTATGATGCCTATAATGCTGGATCCTTAATTAATTTACAAACATATATACTCACTGTATTCCCGATATTTCGCAACCCGTTTAATCCACATCGCTCATCGCGATGGGCCTGTAACCGATTACGTGCTGATTTGTTTGTCGGGCTTCCTTCCTGGAATAGAAATCGATTACTCACTTTTTGAAAATTAAATTAATTTTTTCTAGGTTCTACATTTCTACAGGGTCAAAAACCGTCAAATAATGTCACATTCTCTCTGTTCTACGCTCGACTATTTATATTTCTCTAGTGGTGGCGGTGTCTAGCTTGCGGCAAAAAGAGCATATCATATAAATATATGTACACGCGCGCACACTTATACACACACCACGAAGTCGATATAACCCTGGGGATACGTACTATAAAAGGAAAGACCGGTTAGTCGTGGATAAATTATATAGAACACGACACTTGGATTAGTATTTTGCATCATCGGTATTGAAAGAAAAAAATTCCACACAGTACGTACATTTCTCGATGTATTCAACCACAGCACATAGATTGTTCCAAACAGAAAATACGCCCAACATAATATATTCAAGAAAGGGAAGACAGCGTAAATATCTAAGGTGTCGAACAGTCACGAAAATGAAGCGGTGCACAGTAACGCCGTCACCAACGCTGACGTCATTGCGTTCTCGTCCAGGACCGAGTACATTCTTTTTATCTTTTTACTAATATTCACCACGGGCACTCACCTTCGTGCGACTGACTGGAGGCTGTAGAGTAGCGCGCGCGGTCACTACGGAATCGCCGAACTGTACTGAGTAAACACCGGAAGAGACGTGTTTCTGGGGCGTCAGAGGTGCCACGACGCCTAGCAGGAACGCGTACACGAACAGCAAAGTGATCACTGCCCACATACACCACAACCCCCAGCCTATCAATTGGGTATAAGCCAGTTTATACGGTGTAACTTTCGAGAATCACCAGACCCTCTGCATCAATCCATCTATACACAACTTTGATCAATCTTTCGATTACAATGTGAGATGAACATGAGAAAGGAATAAACGTCATTTTATTGGAGATATCTTTGGAAATTGGCAAAAATAGGAAGAACTGTAAAATACTACAAAATTCGAACAATAATAGTCGATGAGAGTTGAAGAAATGTTTCTGCGGTCACACGCGAATCTCTTAGCATATATTCAGAAATATCCCACTCGTATGATCATCCCCCCACTCCATGGTCAAAATGATGTACTAAACTGGCACGCTACTCGTTGTTAGCAATGACAGAGATGGTCTGAACTGCGAACAAGATCACACCGATCACTGAGATTCCCCATGTAGGAACAATGTAACTTCAAGTAGCAGATGAACCAGGATATATCGTGTGCTTCTTATGTATAAGAACTTCGACACAGAGGACACCCGTTGCTACTAGGTACCGTTATGTTATGTGAAATCCGTTGACCGCCGGTTTTCTCTCTCTTCCCCTGCCAAAGAGCTGTAGTCTATTAATAAAAGGCAGCTCTCGCGACTAACCGTTGAACAGACTGGCGTATATTCGAAGAAAAACATGGACTCGTTTCGTAACATGCGACTAGACGAGCAATAGGAATGCATAAGCTAACCTTTTGATGCATGTCGTCCCTTATTTTCCATCTATCACCACTATCCTGTAAACTATACAGCACCAAAGTTTTGTTACGAGCCACTGAACCCTCCATAAGACAAGGAAAATGGCGAGTCACGAGATACTGATCTGTCATGGCCTTACATACACGAATATATGCATAAAAGATGGCGGATGCGTTTTTGGCTACGTTTAGAATTGCTATAGGACTATACACTACTGAATGTCTCTTAATAATAGAATGGTGAAATGAAACGAAAGGCTTTAATATGCTATATGTCAGAAAGAAACCTTTACAATGCAACTAATAGAAAGAAGAAACTATAAGAAACAAAATAATGGAAACCAAGAGAATTCGTACGTTTACAATGTAGTACTGTGCAGGTTATAGTTTGTTCTCTTAGAACACATATCTATTGACGGTTCTGCTAAGTAAAAGTTTCATGAGGCGAGATTACGACGTCTTCCCAATGAATAATTAACGAAAATTACTTAGGGACACTCACAAACTGGTCGGTGACCACGCGGTAGAGATTTTGATGAGCCGTGGACGGTGTAGTGGGCGATGAGGTCAGATTACTGGCAGTATTTGCGCTTGTCCTCGAGAAATGACTATCTGGTCTCCTGGACGTGGAAGGTAGAGATGGGTCATCCCCATAGGTACCCAAGGGTCTTCCCGCCACACCGTTTTGCAAAATAGGCGGCGTGCCGCCTACGAACCAGGTCTGATCGATACCGTACGAGATAGACACGTTCCGTTGCTCCTCACCGTCTTTAAAACTTTCCGGATCCCCAGTGCGACCACCACGAAGGAACGCAATCGCGTCGATGGAGGTGACAGCGTCGTTGATGCCGCGTATTACCTCACCAGCGCCTCTAATCTCGCCCCCGACTTCGATGCCGTCCTCCTGTTCCTCTAACTCTTGGATAATCTTCTGATCGTTGTTGTTAATCAGCAGCTCGTCGTTACTCGGATTAGTGGCTAGGTTAGTGAGCAAGTCGAGCTTAACACCGATCAAACCAGCACCGCCAGCACCGCCACCGGGCATAGGCGACAAGAGGTTGCGCTTAGCTGGTGAAACCTCGTCAATCCGATGGGCAGCACCGCGTTGCTGCTGTTGTTGCCGATGGTGCCAGTTGTTCAGCTTGTTGTTTTCGTCGTCCTCGTCGTCATCGTCCTTGTCACCGTCATCGGGGTCGTGATCGTGGTCGCGGTCAGGGTCGTGGTTGTGGTCGCGGTCGTTGTTGTTTATCCCATATTGACCGGGATTACGAACGTCCTCGGCGCTGCTGCTGTTATTCCCATTACTGTTGTTGTTATTATGTTGATCGTCATCGGATTTATTGTCGTCCTCGTTGTCGTCGTTGTCGTCGTTATCGTCCTCGTCCTCGTCTAGATTGCGGATCGTACCGCGCTCGTCGATCGTTACCTCGCCAGGCGACGCGGTACTGTCCGCGCGTGCATGCCCGCTGCTGAGCACCGTGCTGCTGGACAGTGGCCTTCTCTTCGACCTGGACCAGAGTGCACCACTGACAGCGCAGGAAGACGACGAGGAGGACGAGGAGAGCGACGACTCCGGACGATGATCTCTGCCGGTACGTTCGACGACTATGTCACGATCGTCACCACCAAACAACTCCGTCAACGAGGAACCGGCTGAATGATGCTTCCACTGATGATGATGGTGGTGATGATGATGATGATGGGTTCCACTTGTGGTGGTGGTGGTGGTAGTGGTGGTGGTCGTGGTGGTGGTGCTGCTGCTGCTACTGCTGCTCGTTTGACGAATATTCGGTATGTAACCGGACGGTGAGTACCTGATCAGATCCGCTGCAATTTCTAGTCTAGACGAGGATTCCGGGATTCCTCTATCCCTGGACGAACTGCCGACAGAGATGCTCGACGAGGACGACGATGTGGACAAGCCGAATCTGCTACCGCTGGTGCCGTTTACAGTCACATTCGTAGCCGTGCTACCGCTACTGCCAGTGCTGCTGTACGTCGACGACGAAACTGACCTGCAAACGTTCAGCCAATGTGAATATTGCGAACATCCTTTTTCATTCGTCTGGGCCCGCGGCCAAGGGCTACCCTCTCTTTCTCTGGATTACGCAATCCTCGGCCAGCATACGCGAAACACGCTCGTAAACACACGCACGCGCAAATCAAATATATAAGTAAACGAATAAGCAATTCGTTTGTGTGTGTGTGTGTGTGCATTAATGCTAATTAATAATAAGATAAATCTCAGCAGGGCTGCTAGGTTTAACGAGATATAAATGTAAATCTTTTAACTAGAAAAGTTCGCCAACTTCTCTAGTTTACGTGATAATTATGAACCTATCGTCATTTGGTTGGCAAAGTAGAACTCCTTCGAATATTTTACCTTCAAAGGTTCGCAAAATATGAATATTCTTCTCCAAAACCGAGCATCCCTTTTAACTCCTACGTACTTAACGAAAGGTCAAAATTGTTTCAGAAAGAAGAGGAAAACAAGCAAGAAAAGTATCAAGGAGCATAAGAATAATTGCCTCTGTGAATAAAGGAAAAGAAGTTGGTACATGTGCGATCAGGTCGATGCCGCTGGCCTACATGCTGACCAGATCCTTTTCGGGGTTTGGAGGTTACTAAATCAGACGCGTGACACCGTTCGTGGATTTGGAAATAGCGCCGGGAACACGCACTAGATATTTAAAATATACACGCATTCTTGCGCGCGCACGCGTGCACTAGATATCTCGTTGCGGTAAAAGGAGACGGGATTCCGGGGAGAAAGTAAGTGTCTTCTGTCTCCGTCTCTCCACACACTGCATCAGAAGACAATTCGCAGCGAGGTCAAGGCCTTTCGCCACGCTTCCACCACGTCAATCGCGATCGATCAACCCACACGACGTATATTTATACCCACGTGGCTGTTTACCGCGACAGCTATTCCCTGCAGGGATTAGACTCTGTCCTAGCTCTTTAATTGTTTATAACGATTGGTTAGGTGACTCGAAAGTTGCATATTTAATACCTACTTATCTCATCATTCCGTAGTAGCTGATTGATTTTTAATATTTTATTATAGTAACCTCCTAACGAGTATTAGTATTTTTATTTTACTATGAGCATCTAACATACCTAGGACAGTAACAGGAAAATTCGACTTTTTACGCTACTCCATCCATATCAATCAGTTCGAATATGTTAATTATTATTAGTCGTCGAGCAAAACTCCGGTTATAGAAGGTTATATCCACTTTCACATATTATACAGCTACTCAAAAATCAATTAATACAAAAGTCAAGGCTACAGAGGAACAGCCCTCTACCAGTTGTATTTCATTTCATTGAATACTTTTCAAAAATGGCGGCCACAGAGTGGCTGATAGACAACGGACTCTAGCTGTGTATTTAATAGCATGTAAAAAATGGGGCTAACATTTGTTGTCCAAACAACAAAGAAAATCTTCCATCAGTGGCAAGTGAATAGATTCTCGTGCAACTAGTTCCTAGACTGGTACTCCAAATTTGTACCGCCCATTTACTATCAACCTCGACCTTTACCGTCACCTCTTCGACCATGCCATAGAAATGGGGACTTACGCCTCGCGCCCTTCTAATTGGATCATTGTGACACGAACAAAAGTAATTAGGGCATTGTAAAGGGTGTCGTCGGGTACCTGTTGCCGACTGATGTATTTATAACGTGCGTTCTGTAGCCATTTTGTCCACGGCCATCGTTGTGTTCCCCTCGACAGAGAAACGCAATTGGCATGAGCATGATTCATCAGCCGATAAAAAGAAAGGGAAGATCGATGACGAGGAAGTTCCGCCACGTGATCTCTGACCACTATCCTTTCGAGCAGCAACAATCGGTACTTAACGCTTTGCCGCTCGTCTAGCTATAATTAGTTGCCTCAAAAAACGTGGCTGGACCAAACTGCTATTTTTGGCGTTTCAGCAATTCCATTCCAAAAAGGCACATTAGTTTAGTACATTAAGCGATAAAGGTAATGATACTCGAATTCGATTTTAGTTAAGGTAAAGATAGTGGTGATACCAAACTAATGCAATTTAATATTTTGATTAGAACGTTTGCACGAAGTTGTTAAATATCAAGACACGTTATATGTCAAAGAAATTCAAATTGGTTACGTTTGCAACATTCTATATTTTGATGTTGATGTTGACTGAACGAAAGTCAAATCTACAGCTCCATGATATAGCGAGGTCGTAAGTTCAAAGTAACTGAACAAGCAGCTTATCAAACGTTTAAGAAGGTAAGAATCCAGAACCTCAGTCGAATTCTGTAGATGTTTCTTCTTTCATTACTAAAATTTCTTTTGACATTTCCTTACGTTCCTTTTTTAATTGCAGGATGTGTTTCCTTCGTCGAAGACTATATTCTTCTGTTGCTAGAATTCCTGTGAAATCTCCCTAAGATGGGACTATTTTTCAAAATGTAGACGTTTTGGTAAGTTCCAGTTTCATTATGGTGGAATATACGAAAGTGGACAGAAAACCAATAGTGTAATAAAACCATTTCCTAACATTCGCTAGGGATGAATACAGTCCATGAAAGTACTTAAGAATACTTAAGAGAAAGTATTTATGGAGGATGATAATGAAGTAGTCACCAGGAATATTTTCAAAAAGTAAAGAAATATGATTACTAATATAACTAATGATCATAGAGTGATTGTCGTCGCACAATAACGAGATAAGTAATAAATTAATAAATAAATCATAACAATTAGTAACAAATAATTATTAAATTGATCAACCGTTAAAGTGCGAAGATTAGCAGGAACTTAAGAAGATAAAGAATTGAAGCCTCAGATCAAATTACACAAAGTACATTTTAGCTTTGATTTAATCCTCATTGGGGTGGTTAGAAGAACATTGCATGCAAATTTTGGTATAATTACATCAATGTATATCGCCACTCGATGCTTTTATTTCAAACCTCGCTATATCACAATGGTTACGATGAAGATAAATTTCAAGAAAGCAAGTCGGCAAAGCGTTAAATCAAGAAGACAGTTATTTCATCGGATGATATCGGAA